GTGTAACACGGGCTCCTCTCTCCCGCCAGCAAACTGAAGCCGCCGCTTGCCCTGGAGCTGGAATCCTGCCTCCTGCGGGCTGTTCTCCACGCGTCTTCACCATGGGCACGGGGCAGGACACGACCCACTTCCGGTAGGTCCTGATCCTACTTCTCTGTCCCAGGAGCAAGAGCGGCCACTGGTCCCTGCTCCCTCGGTTTACATATCGGACCCAGCCGACGACATCAGCGGGCAAGCCAGGGGTGGGGTTTATTGGCTGTACAGCCTCCTGCTGCAGAAGAGGGGTAAGAAACCCAGCTGGACAATGGGACACCATAGAAGCAAGCCCCTTGGAGACTAGCTACAGCTGGCCATTGGGACGCCTTTACAATTAAGGCCTCTCCTTTTAGACCAACTGCAGAGGGGCAGAGGGACCCCAAGAGAAACAAGTCCCCGGGGCTTTGGGGGCCCCCCACTTGCTGGGCAATGGGACCCTACAGAAAGAAGCCCCCTCCTCTGAGACCGACCCCAGCTTAGGTGATGATTCACACTCATCTCCCCAATTCAGGGAGAGGGGAAGAGAAATAAAGTGCCCAGGAAATTGGCTGCTTTATCTCAGAGCCCAGCTCTGTTCCCCACCCCAGGGTAATCAGCCCACCCACAGGGCTGCCAACTGGTGAGGGGTCAGGAATGGAGCTATTGAGACACATGGAGGGAAAGAGCCCATCATGAGGGCAGGGGCAGGAACCACAGGGGATGGACACAAAACTTGAATGCATCCAATGAAGTGAGCTGGAGCAAATAAATAATGTAAATAAATTTGTTCGTCTCTAAGGTGCCCCAAGTACTCCTTTTCTTTTTTGCAAAACTTGTAACATGTCACCAGCTGGGTAGCTAGGGTCAGATCCTGACTTCAGTGGAGGGGGCGGGGGGGATTTCTCAGTATTAGACGCCACCATTAACAGGCGCCCACTCCCAGAGCACAATGACCGTAAGGGTCACATGATTACTGTGATGAATGAGACAAATTCCGCTTCAGGTACTAAACCGCCTGGTGGGGAACCTGCGAGTCCACTGGGCCATGGGTGCCACAAGGATCCCGGCCAGTGTTCACCCAGCAAAGGGAACCGAAGGAAACAGGCACGGAAACCGGAGACCAAACCTCCCCAATGGCTGTGTCTTTCTCCCCCCAGGGCTGAACATCAGAGAGGCGAGCGAGCTGTGGTGTCGGGACGGGCTCCAGGACACTGAGTGCCTGGGCTACAGGAACATGGCCAGGGTGGGGGAGGTAAGGACTCTCTGCCAGTGCATGGCAGCAGCTCAGGTGTGGAGCTGTCTCCCCCTGCAGTGAGTGTCATGGATACAGGGCTAGAGCCTGCTACTTATTTCCAGCTGACAGCGTTCGGCTGTGAGAGGCTGAGGATCCTGGCTTGGAGCTTGCTAATGGCCCCGGCTTGTGTGTGTTGCATGGATCCATGGCTCTGTGGCATAAAAGGGATCCCCTTGGAGGTTGCGTTAATGGAGAAGTGTATCTCCAGGGATCTGGCTCCGCTCACTGTCCCCCCGAGTGACACCCTGGTGTCAGTGAGTTGGGAAGCTCACACCAGCTAGTGCCGGACCAGATCCTCATTGGATTCCCTGCACCCCCCTGGAAGCACAGGCAGGGTGTGGGGTTTGCCCAGTACCGTGGTGAGTCCAGGAGCAGAACCTGCCTCTACCCTGGGCATTGGGTGAGGGACACCGAGCTCCGTTCCTGGGCGGAGTCACTGCACTGTATGTGAGGCTCGTGGGATTGTCAGTGGGGTGAGGAGCGGGAACGGAAGCAGATCTAAAAGGCCCCTAACCTCCAGCGGGTGAGCTGCAGGAGATAGCGCTGCTGGAAGCAGTAGGGGACCTTTGTTGTCTTTGTGAGCTGGGTTCCAGAGCGCGCAGACACGTTCCCAGCCTGTCATGGCACCTGCGGGGAATCCGGCTCCAGAAAGAGCGATTCGAGACCTCAGTGCCTGCAATCTCTAACTGAAGGGGGTTCCTTGGTCCATGGGACTCCAAAGGTTGGCTGCCCCAGGACTCGTATCCCCCTGGTGAGATGCTAGAGGGATTTGGAGCCTGGTTCTGGGCAATTGCCAGGGGCTCTGGTCCTCTTTGTTTTAGGTCTTTGGACACATCTTCATTGGATGCCAAAGAACTTTCCTCCAGGCGGCGCTTCTGGCCATACACGATCCCCTGATCCATGTCAGCCAGGCTGGGCTGGTGCTCACATATTCCATCCTGGGAGAAGCCAGCCAGCTGATAGGGGACGAGGTAATCAAAGAAGGATCAACTGGGGAGGGATCCCCAGGTCCTCTCACCTCCGGGCCATAGAAAGACACTTCCAACCCATCCCCATTCGCTGACCAGGGAGCAAGGAGACGATGAACCCAAGGAGGTGCCATTGGTAGGTGCCAGCTTGTCCCTTGAGCAGCTCAAAGCAGAGGAGACCCAGCTCTCCAGAAAGGCTATTTCCTAATAGGCGTCACATCAACATGACATGCTGCCATGCTCATGCTAGGGACTGCCAACTTCCCTAGCCACCTCTGTGAGCCTTTCATCCCCCTCCGGGGCTCAGGACGGCTCCTAGTGCTCTGGTATCATGTTATCCCAGCCACCACCTGCTCTGGGAGAACTGGAGGAATCAGTCAGCAGAGGCTGCTCAAGTGCCTCATTCCCCAGAGCTACTGTCCATGGCGTCACCTTAAGGACGGGGAGGGTCCCTTGGGGAAAGGTGTCCACTTCTTCTCACCCCACGGCACTTCTGCCCAAAGCCTCCCAACCCCTCATCTGAAGGGGGCGAGGGTGGCTGAGGGATTCTGGGGAGCGGAGCTGAATCCCTGGCTGGGTGGGGAGGTAGAACAGCTCTCACGGGGGGATTGAGAGGAAGGGGACAGGAGTTCATTTCACAATGGTGGGAGTGGGGTTGGAGGTCACTAGAGAGGAGACAAGATTTCATCTCGGTGGACGGGTGGGGGAATCCGTCCCTCGGACGTGGGGAGGGTTGGGGTGGAAATTTTGCTGGCTCCCAGTGCCGTTCATGCCCTTCGTTGCCATGGGTGTCCGAGTCTCTGACTGATCCTTGTTCCCTTGCAGCAGGAGGACGTGACAGCGACGATCTACATCCGGTGCTTGCGCCAGGTGCCCAAAGCGCTGCAGGGGCTGTGCTCCGTGGGACAGCCTTGAAGGGCCCCCCCTTCCCATGCCCAGAAGCTCCCACTCCCTGCCGCAGGTACTGCTCTTTCTCGCTGGGCCTGGGGGAGACGGGCTGGGGGAGAGTCCATAGAGCCCACAGCACTGAGAGAAACCCAGGCCGAGCACCTCGCTCTCACCACCCTGCCCCACCCCGACCCCTGGAACTGGGGCCAGGCCAGATACGGTCCCTGCCCCCATGCCCAGAGGCCAGTTTCAGAAGCATCAGGGTCTGGCAAGAAATGAGAGCATCCGCAGAGCCAGGGTTTATCGTCAGTAGCCATTGCAGTCTGGGAAGGGTGGCCCGACTTGGAGCCCCTCTCATGTCATCACTGCTTAGACCTCCCCATGGCCCGTGTCACCCCGACGCAGTGAATGTCTGACCACCTGGTATCTGAACCCTTCCCAGCCAGGAATGAAACTCCCCGCTAGCACCCTGGGGCAGGGAAGGATCCTCCCCATCTGGCAGGTGGGGACTGAGACACAGAGGAAGAGCTGTTTCAGAGGAACAGCCGTGTTAGTCTGTATTCGCAAAAGGAAAGGAGTACTTGTGGCACCTTAGAGACTAACCAATTTATTTGAGCATGAGCTTTCGTGAGCTACAGCTCACTTCATCAGAGCTGTGATCCTGGTCACACAATCCTGGGGGTAGATCTGGGAACTGGACGGGGTCCCAGGCCTTTCCCCCAGTGGCACCTTCGCTTTCTGCCCTTTATTCTCCCCTCCTGCTAGGGGGTCTGTGAGTGTGAAATGAACAGGAGGGTGATGGGGTCCTGGCACATAGCCTGGGTGGGAGCTCCCCTTGGCTTGGAGCCCACCGTCAGTGACCTCTTTGTCATCCTGCTCTCCTTCTTTTATTCCTAGGATGGGAGTCCCTCGATGAGGGGTCTCTAGGGCTCCAGGTGGGCAGTGCCTAGGAGTACCAATAAATCATCCTGGTTCCCGCCTGCATGCACCACCCGGCCCTGCCCTGCCCTCCAGTTCCTCGCTATTGACTCTGGCTTGACTCTGGGGTTATGACTTTGCCATGACCCTTATTGGCTCCAGATGTTGGCTACCCACCCTGATGCCGTATTCTCCTTGCCCTTCTCTAGCCTCGCTCTAGGCCCTCCACCGACCCACTCCAGCATTGCCTCCTCCTCCTGATCTTCCCCAAGCCCTCCGATGTTGACTACCCAGCTTTGACCTTCGGCCTGTATCCGCACTCTGGCTTGACAATGACATCGATTTGGCTGATCTTTGGTCCCTGCCTACCCGGCTACCACCTCTGGCATGGACTTGGACTCTGGCTCTGATTCTGCTTTGTCGATGGACTCTGACCTCGCTTTTGACCCTGGTGCATCCCTGGACCTTGATTCTAGCACCACTCTCAGCCTAGACACAATCCTGCACTTCCCTGCGCTCCAAACACTGGGCCTAATTCTCAGATGTAGCATGTGACATCAAGTGATACAACTTCTGGCAGAAAAGCAGGCTCTCCACAAGTAAGTGGCCCGTATGCAACAAGGGACGCATCACACAACAAGGTGTGAACCAGGGCCTCACTACATCAGCCTGGCCTGGGGATACCCCTACTGGAGCTGTGCACTGGAAATGACTGAAAATATCGGGGTTCCTTTAACCAGCTTCCGCCCCTGGAAGGAGTAAGTTTGATGGATGGGAGGAATGGGGGGCCCAGCTGGTTGGGGTGGGGGTGACACTGGCTGTTTCTGCAGAGCACTTTGGCCTCCTCCCTGGGAAGCGCCTGTGGGTCTGCGGGGCCTGAATCTCACGTGCGGTTTTGTCTCCTTGGGGTCTCTCAGGAGGTGATTGAAAATCTCCCCGTGGAGTCCGAGCCAACCTCCATCGTCTCCAGCTCCATGGCCGCGGTTTGCAGCCTCAGGTACCAGGACCCTCCCTTCCAGCTGCCCTAACCCTGGTGCTGATCGGGCCAGAGCTCGGAGTCACAGATCCTCCCCGGCCTGCGTTACCCCAAGCTCTGGCTGTTCGCATCCCCCAGCAGAGGAGGCGGGAACGTCCCCTCTTTCCTGGCTGGGGGGTGATTTCACTCCAGTAACGTTCGAGTGGCCGTAGGGAGGGGATCACTGCAGGGGAGGGGGGTCGTGTCCATGGCAGTGCCAGCACCCCTCTCGTCCTGCAAAGTGTAACACGGGCTCCTCTCTCCCGCCAGCAAACTGAAGCCACCACTTGCCCTGGAGCTGGAATCCTGCCTCCTGCGGGCTGTTCTCCAGGCGTCTTCACCACGGGCACGGGACAGGGCACCACCCACTTCCGGTAGGTCCTGATCCTACTTCTCTGTCCCAGGAGCAAGAGCGGCCTCTGGTCCCTGCTCCCTCGGTTTGATGGAGCTGCTGAGAATAGGGGAGGGGTGAGCAGAGCTGGGAACAGGCCCAGGAGGCGCGGGGGAGGGGGGCGGACACAAACTGTCAGGGAGGGCCCCTTCCCTCCAGAGGGGATTGCGTTAGCCCTTGTGGCTGATCCCAGACTTCCCTCTTCTCCTCACTCTCTGCTCTGCTGCCCGGACTCTCCCACCCGGGGATCCTACCTCCCACCCATTGCGGTTTGGCTGCTCCATACTCTGCTGGGTACCAGGCTCTGCACAGAGAACAGCTAAGGGCAAGGATTGAGGAGCCAGCAGGCATCCGGCCATGAACTCTTGCTCAGTGTCCCTGCAGTGAGGTGAATGGGAGAGGCCAGGAGGTGCCTTTTGGCTCTTGCCAGGGCTCCCCGGAGAAACCCCACCCCGATTGTCCCCTCTCTGGGGTAGCCCCAGATCCCATGGTTGAGGGTGCTCCCTCTTTTGCAGGCTCTGCACAAGACCTATTCGCAGAGCCTGGACACCATGTTCAGGGGCCTGCTGACAGAGACCCCCACCATGGACAAGCTGCAGCACCTCTTGGAGGTGAGCAGAATGGGAGGGTCTGGGGCGAAATTTCCCCTGAACCCTGTGGGAGGGCTGCAAAGGAGAGACTAGAAGAGCCATGTTTCCATTGTGTCCTCCCTGCTTGGACCCTGCCGGCCGCACGTTCCCAGAGCCGTCAGTGCAGAGGGAAGGAACTGGGACTGTCAGCCAGAGCTCTGCATGGTTGCATTAAACACTAACAGTGAGCACCAGAGACTGAAACCCCTGTGAGATGTAGGACATGAGAAAAGTTACTGGCTCCTTTCGAGGGAGACCCTGAGATACAGGAGGAGCCTCGGGGAATCAGCTCTTCTGTCCTAGGGACACAGCAGTTCCTGGAGGGATTGTCCTCACGGCCGCTCCATCCATCCTACCAAGGCCTCTGCAGCTCGGGTCTGGGGGTCCAGGGCATGTGCCTTGATCCTGATGTGCTGTTCATGGATCAGGGGTTCAGAGCAAGTAGACCAGCCCCAAGGCCGAACCTTGTCCCAGCCTGGAGAGACGATGACAGCTTGTGCCCAGCAAGATGTGGGCAGTGTCATGAACCCCCTTTTCAAACCCTGCAAGCAGCGGTCAGCTATGACCCCCTGAGCACATGGTCTCAGCCCCTTGGGGAGGGGGAGAGGCTCGTTTGTAGAGCATATACGCCTGCGTGCTGACTCTCCCCTGCCTCCTTCTCCTGTAGCATTTCTGGCTCCACTCCAAAATGACCCAGGAGAGAGCTAGGGCCATACGGAGCAGCGCTGCCCTGCTCTGATTCGCCACCACCCTCCCCGGATTTGACGTAAGTGACCTTTGACCCCAACATCTACATAGGCAGGGCTGGCTCTGAAAGGCTGTGGGACGAGCCGCTGCAGGGTTGTAAATAGAGAGGGCCCCCGTGGGAAGGCAGAGTCAGAACTGAGCCTCAATTATGCTTGAGTCAAGTTCCTCATCCCCTGGCTACATGGTTCCCCCTGCGTCCGTAAGGGACAGCCGCGTTCCATAGGCCACTGGCTGGCACAGCCGTGCCTGGCTTCAGGGCCCTCTTTATTCTGGAGCAGCTTGGCTGCGAGAGCTCATCCAGGGCCCTTGCCTGGTTCCTTTCCTCCAAGCTCCCCCAGCGCCTCCTACAGATGGATGGGAGCAGAGCTCTGGCCCAGGGGAGCTGGAGAGCTGAAGGGAGACTGTTGATGGATTCCCCTCTCCTCCTCCTTCCACCAGAGCTCCTCTGACTTCCCCAAGGCGGGCGACTTTGTGCTGCAGCTGGGTCTCTACATATCGGACCCAGCCGACATCAGCTGGCAAGCCAGGGGCGGGGTTTATTGGCTGTACAGCCTCCTGCTGCAGAAGAGGGGTAAGAAACCCAGCTGGACAATGGGACACCATAGAAGCAAGCCCCTTGGAGACTAGCTACAGCTGGCCATTGGGACGCCTTTACAACTAAGGCCTCTCCTTTTAGACCAACTGCAGAGGGGCAGAGGGACCCCAAGAGAAACAAGTCCCCGGGGCTTTGGGGGCCCCCCACTTGCTGGGCAATGGGAGCCTACAGAAAGAAGCCCCCTCCTCTGAGACCGACCCCAGCTTAGGTGATGATTCACACTCATCTCCCTAATTCAGGGAGAGGGGAAGAGAAATAAAGTGCCCAGGAAATTGGCTGCTTTATCTCAGAGCCCAGCTCTGTTCCCCACCCCAGGGTAATCAGCCCACCCACGGGGCTGCCAACTGGTGAGGGGTCAGGAATGGAGCTATTGAGACACATGGAGGGAAAGAGCCCATCATGAGGGCAGGGGCAGGAACCACAGGGGATGGACACAAAACTTGAATGCATCCAATGAAGTGAGCTGGAGCAAATAAATAATGTAAATAAATTTGTTCGTCTCTAAGGTGCCCCAAGTACTCCTTTTCTTTTTGCAAAACTTGTAACATGTCACCAGCTGGGTAGCTAGGGTCAGATCCTGACTTCAGTGGAGGGGGCGGGGGGATTTCTCAGTATTAGACGCCACCATTAACAGGCGCCCACTCCCAGAGCACAATGACCGTAAGGGTCACATGATTACTGTGATGAATGAGACAAATTCCGCTTCAGGTACTAAACCGCCTGGTGGGGAACCTGCGAGTCCACTGGGCCATGGGTGCCACAAGGATCCCGGCCAGTGTTCACCCAGCAAAAGGAACCGAAGGAAACAGGCACGGAAACCGGAGACCAAACCTCCCCAATGGCTGTGTCTTTCTACCCCCAGGGCTGAACATCAGAGAGGCGAGCGAGCTGTGGTGTCGGGACGGGCTCCAGGACACTGAGTGCCTGGGCTACAGGAACATGGCCAGGGTGGGGGAGGTAAGGACTCTCTGCCAGTGCATGGCAGCAGCTCAGGTGTGGAGCTGTCTCCCCCTGCAGTGAGTGTCATGGATACAGGGCTAGAGCCTGCTACTTATTTCCAGCTGACAGCGTTCGGCTGTGAGAGGCTGAGGATCCTGGCTTGGAGCTTGCTAATGGCCCCGGCTTGTGTGTGTTGCATGGATCCATGGCTCTGTGGCATAAAAGGGATCCCCTTGGAGGTTGCGTTAATGGAGAAGTGTATCTCCAGGGATCCGGCTCCGCTCACTGTCCCCCCGAGTGACACCCTGGTGTCAGTGAGTTGGGAAGCTCACACCAGCTAGTGCCGGACCAGATCCTCATTGGATTCCCTGCACCCCCCTGGAAGCACAGGCAGGGTGTGGGGTTTGCCCAGTACCGTGGTGAGTCCAGGAGCAGAACCTGCCGCTACCCTGGGCATTGGGTGAGGGACACCGAGCTCCGTTCCTGGGCGGGGTCACTGCACTGTATGTGAGGCTCGTGGGATTGTCAGTGGGGTGAGGAGCGGGAACGGAAGCAGATCTAAAAGGCCCCTAACCTCCAGCGGGTGAGCTGCAGGAGATAGCGCTGCTGGAAGCAGTAGGGGACCTTTGTTGTCTTTGTGAGCTGGGTTCCAGAGCGCGCAGACACGTTCCCAGCCTGTCATGGCACCTGCGGGGAATCCGGCTCCAGAAAGAGCGATTCGAGACCTCAGTGCCTGCAATCTCTAACTGAAGGGGGTTCCTTGGTCCATGGGACTCCAAAGGTTGGCTGCCCCAGGACTCGTATCCCCCTGGTGAGATGCTAGAGGGATTTGGAGCCTGGTTCTGGGCAATTGCCAGGGGCTCTGGTCCTCTTTGTTTTAGGTCTTTGGACACATCTTCACTGGATGCCAAAGAACTTTCCTCCAGGCGGCGCTTCTGGCCATACACGACCCCCTGATCCATGTCAGCCAGGCTGGGCTGGTGCTCACATATTCCATCCTGGGAGAAGCCAGCCAGCTGATAGGGGACGAGGTAACCAAAGAAGGATCAACTGGGGAGGGATCCCCAGGTCCTTTCACCTCCGGGCCATAGAAAGTCACTCCCAACCCATTCGCTGACCAGGGAGCAAGGGGACGATGAACCCAAGGAGGTGCCATTGGTAGGTGCCAGCTTGTCCCTTGAGAAGCTCAAAGCAGAGGAGACCCAGCTCTCCAGAAAGGCTATTTCCTAATAGGCGTCACATCAACATGACATGCTGCCATGCTCATGCTAGGGACTGCCAACTTCCCTAGCCACCTCTGTGAGCCTTTCATCCCCCTCCGGGGCTCAGGACGGCTCCTAGTGCTCTGGTATCATGTTATCCCAGCCACCACCTGCTCTGGGAGAACTGGAGGAATCAGTCAGCAGAGGCTGCTCAAGTGCCTCATTCCCCAGAGCTACTGTCCATGGCGTCACCTTAAGGACGGGGAGGGTCCCTTGGGGAAAGGTGTCCACTTCTTCTCACCCCACGGCACTTCTGCCCAAAGCCTCCCAACCCCTCATCTGAAGGGGGCGAGGGTGGCTGAGGGATTCTGGGGAGCGGAGCTGAATCCCTGGCTGGGTGGGGAGGTAGAACAGCTCTCACGGGGGGATTGAGAGGAAGGGGGCAGGAGTTCATTTCACAATGGTGGGAGTGGGGTTGGAGGTCACTAGAGAGGAGACAAGATTTCATCTCGGTGGACGGGTGGGGGAATCCGTCCCTCGGACGTGGGGAGGGTTGGGGTGGAAATTTTGCTGGCTCCCAGTGCCGTTCATGCCCTTCGTTGCCATGGGTGTCCGAGTCTCTGACTGATCCTTGTTCCCTTGCAGCAGGAGGACGTGACAGCGACGATCTACATCCGGTGCTTGCGCCAGGTGCCCAAAGCGCTGCAGGGGCTGTGCTCCGTGGGACAGCCTTGAAGGGCCCCCCCCTTCCCATGCCCAGAAGCTCCCACTCCCTGCCGCAGGTACTGCTCTTTCTCGCTGGGCCTGGGGGAGACGGGCTGGGGGAGAGTCCATAGAGCCCACAGCACTGAGAGAAACCCAGGCCGAGCACCTCGCTCTCACCACCCTGCCCCACCCCGACCCCTGGAACTGGGGCCAGGCCAGATACGGTCCCTGCCCCCATGCCCAGAGGCCAGTTTCAGAAGCATCAGGGTCTGGCAAGAAATGAGAGCATCCGCAGAGCCAGGGTTTATCGTCAGTAGCCATTGCAGTCTGGGAAGGGTGGCCCGACTTGGAGCCCCTCTCATGTCATCACTGCTTAGACCTCCCCATGGCCCGTGTCACCCCGACGCAGTGAATGTCTGACCACCTGGTATCTGAACCCTTCCCAGCCAGGAATGAAACTCCCCGCTAGCACCCTGGGGCAGGGAAGGATCCTCCCCATCTGGCAGGTGGGGACTGAGACACAGAGGAAGAGCTGTGATCCTGGTCACACAATCCTGGGGGTAGATCTGGGAACTGGACGGGGTCCCAGGCCTTTCCCCAGTGGCACCTTCGCTTTCTGCCCTTTATTCTCCCCTCCTGCTAGGGGGTCTGTGAGTGTGAAATGAACAGGAGGGTGATGGGGTCCTGGCACATAGCCTGGGTGGGAGCTCCCCTTGGCTTGGAGCCCACCGTCAGTGACCTCTTTGTCATCCTGCTCTCCTTCTTTTATTCCTAGGATGGGAGTCCCTCGATGAGGGGTCTCTAGGGCTCCAGGTGGGCAGTGCCTAGGAGTACCAATAAATCATCCTGGTTCCCGCCTGCATGCACCACCCGGCCCTGCCCTGCCCTCCAGTTCCTCGCTATTGACTCTGGCTTGACTCTGGGGTTATGACTTTGCCATGACCCTTATTGGCTCCAGATGTTGGCTACCCACCCTGATGCCGTATTCTCCTTGCCCTTCTCTAGCCTCGCTCTAGGCCCTCCACCGACCCACTCCAGCATTGCCTCCTCCTCCTGATCTTCCCCAAGCCCTCCGATGTTGAGTACCCAGCTTTGACCTTCGGCCTGTATCCGCACTCTGGCTTGACAATGACATCGATTTGGCTGATCTTTGGTCCCTGCCTACCCGGCTACGACCTGTGGCATGGACTTGGACTCTGGCTCTGATTCTGCTTTGTCGATGGACTCTGACCTCGCTTTTGACCCTGGTGCATCCCTGGACCTTGATTCTAGCACCACTCTCAGCCTAGACACAATCCTGCACTTCCCTGCGCTCCAAACACTGGGCCTAATTCTCAGATGTAGCATGTGACATCAAGTGATACAACTTCTGGCAGAAAAGCAGGCTCTCCACAAGTAAGTGGCCCGTATGCAACAAGGGACGCATCACACAACAAGGTGTGAACCAGGGCCTCACTACATCAGCCTGGCCTGGGGATACCCCTACTGGAGCTGTGCACTGGAAATGACTGAAAATATCGGGGTTCCTTTAACCAGCTTCCGCCCCTGGAAGGAGTAAGTTTGATGGATGGGAGGAATGGGGGGCCCAGCTGGTTGGGGTGGGGGTGACACTGGCTGTTTCTGCAGAGCACTTTGGCCTCCTCCCTGGGAAGCGCCTGTGGGTCTGCGGGGCCTGAATCTCACGTGCGGTTTTGTCTCCTTGGGGTCTCTCAGGAGTTGATTGAAAATCTCCCCGTGGAGTCCGAGCCAACCTCCATCGTCTCCAGCTCCATGGCCGCGGTTTGCAGCCTCAGGTACCAGGACCCTCCCATCCAGCTGCCCTAACCCTGGTGCTGATCGGGCCAGAGCTGGGAGTCACAAATCCTCCCCGGCCTGCGTTACCCCAAGCTCTGGCTGTTCGCATCCCCCAGCAGAGGAGGCGGGAACGTCCCCTCTTTCCTGGCTGGGGGGTGATTTCACTCCAGTAACGTTCGAGTGGCCGTAGGGAGGGGATCACTGCAGGGGAGGGGGGTCGTGTCCATGGCAGTGCCAGCACCCCTCTCGTCCTGCAAAGTGTAACACGGGCTCCTCTCTCCCGCCAGCAAACTGAAGCCACCACTTGCCCTGGAGCTGGAATCCTGCCTCCTGCGGGCTGTTCTCCAGGCGTCTTCACCACGGGCACGGGACAGGGCACCACCCACTTCCGGTAGGTCCTGATCCTACTTCTCTGTCCCAGGAGCAAGAGCGGCCTCTGGTCCCTGCTCCCTCGGTTTGATGGAGCTGCTGAGAATAGGGGAGGGGTGAGCAGAGCTGGGAACAGGCCCAGGAGGCGCGGGGGAGGGGGGCGGACACAAACTGTCAGGGAGGGCCCCTTCCCTCCAGAGGGGATTGCGTTAGCCCTTGTGGCTGATCCCAGACTTCCCTCTTCTCCTCACTCTCTGCTCTGCTGCCCGGACTCTCCCACCCGGGGATCCTACCTCCCACCCATTGCGGTTTGGCTGCTCCATACTCTGCTGGGTACCAGGCTCTACACAGAGAACAGCTAAGGGCAAGGATTGAGGAGCCAGCAGGCATCCGGCCATGAACTCTTGCTCAGTGTCCCTGCAGTGAGGTGAATGGGAGAGGCCAGGAGGTGCCTTTTGGCTCTTGCCAGGGCTCCCCGGAGAAACCCCACCCCGATTGTCCCCTCTCTGGGGTAGCCCCAGATCCCATGGTTGAGGGTGCTCCCTCTTTTTGCAGGCTCTGCACAAGACCTATTCGCAGAGCCTGGACACCATGTTCAGGGGCCTGCTGACAGAGACCCCCACCATGGACAAGCTGCAGCACCTCTTGGAGGTGAGCAGAATGGGAGGGTCTGGGGCGAAATTTCCCCTGAACCCTGTGGGAGGGCTGCAAAGGAGAGACTAGAAGAGCCATGTTTCCATTGTGTCCTCCCTGCTTGGACCCTGCCGGCCGCACGTTCCCAGAGCCGTCAGTGCAGAGGGAAGGAACTGGGACTGTCAGCCAGAGCTCTGCATGGTTGCATTAAACACTAACAGTGAGCACCAGAGACTGAAACCCCTGTGAGATGTAGGACATGAGAAAAGTTACTGGCTCCTTTCGAGGGAGACCCTGAGATACAGGAGGAGCCTCAGGGAATCAGCTCTTCTGTCCTAGGGACACGGCAGTTCCTGGAGGGATTGTCCTCACGGCCGCTCCATCCATCCTACCAAGGCCTCTGCAGCTCGGGTCTGGGGGTCCAGGGCATGTGCCTTGATCCTGATGTGCTGTTCATGGATCAGGGGTTCAGAGCAAGTAGACCAGCCCCAAGGCCGAACCTTGTCCCAGCCTGGAGAGACGATGACAGCTTGTGCCCAGCAAGATGTGGGCAGTGTCATGAACCCCCTTTTCAAACCCTGCAAGCAGCGGTCAGCTATGACCCCCTGAGCACATGGTCTCAGCCCCTTGGGGAGGGGGAGAGGCTCGTTTGTAGAGCATATACGCCTGCGTGCTGACTCTCCCCTGCCTCCTTCTCCTGTAGCATTTCTGGCTCCACTCCAAAATGACCCAGGAGAGAGCTAGGGCCATACGGAGCAGCGCTGCCCTGCTCTGATTCGCCACCACCCTCCCCGGATTTGACGTAAGTGACCTTTGACCCCAACATCTACATAGGCAGGGCTGGCTCTGAAAGGCTGTGGGACGAGCCGCTGCAGGGTTGTAAATAGAGAGGGCCCCCGTGGGAAGGCAGAGTCAGAACTGAGCCTCAATTATGCTTGAGTCAAGTTCCTCATCCCCTGGCTACATGGTTCCCCCTGCGTCCGTAAGGGACAGCCGCGTTCCATAGGCCACTGGCTGGCACTGCCGTGCCTGGCTTCAGGGCCCTCTTTATTCTGGAGCAGCTCGGCAGCGAGAGCTCATCCAGGGCCCTTGCCCTGGTTCCTTTCCTCCAAGCTCCCCCAGCGCCTCCTACAGATGGATGGGAGCAGAGCTCTGGCCCAGGGGAGCTGGAGAGCTGAAGGGAGACTGTTGATGGATTCCCCTCTCCTCCTCCTTCCACCAGAGCTCCTCTGACTTCCCCAAGGCGGGCGACTTTGTGCTGCAGCTGGGTCTCTACATATCGGACCCAGCCGACATCAGCTGGCAAGCCAGGGGCGGGGTTTATTGGCTGTACAGCCTCCTGCTGCAGAAGAGGGGTAAGAAACCCAGCTGGACAATGGGACACCATAGAAGCAAGCCCCTTGGAGACTAGCTACAGCTGGCCATTGGGACGCCTTTACAACTAAGGCCTCTCCTTTTAGACCAACTGCAGAGGGGCAGAGGGACCCCAAGAGAAACAAGTCCCCGGGGCTTTGGGGGCCCCCCACTTGCTGGGCAATGGGACCCTACAGAAAGAAGCCCCCTCCTCTGAGACCGACCCCAGCTTAGGTGATGATTCACACTCATCTCCCTAATTGCCATTGCAGTCTGGGAGGGGTGGCCCAACTTGGAGCCCCTCTCATGTCATCACTGCTTGTGATGGGGGGAGGGGCCATAGAGCCCACAGCACTGAGCCAATAAGGGTGATTGCAACTTTTTACAGAAAACCGGGCTCTCCTCAAGTAAGTGGCCCGTATGCAACAAAGGACACATCACACAACAAGGTGTGAACCAGGGCCTCACTACATGAGCCTGGCCCGGGGATGCCCCTTCTGGAGCTGTGCAATGGAAATGACTGAAAATGTCGGGGTTCCTTTAACCAGCCTCCGCCCCTGGACCTACTCCACTGTTCTTGACTCGGACACCCGGCATTCCTGATAAAAGCCAGGGTTACATGGATACCTTTGAAAGAAATGTGGATTCGTTGCCGCTGCACCGGGGCTATGACTGCCCTCTTGACCTCCAACCTTGGTTGAAAGTTGCCTTCGGCTGTATTTACACATTGTCAGAACAAGAATTTGTGGCTCTCCCTGTGTACAGGCATGAAAACCAGTCCAAAGGCTTTCTTAGCTACCAAGCTTTTCCCACGGGTGCTCAGGCCCTTTTTGGGAAGAAGAAATGTGGGACTCTACTACGCTTCTGGTTAGACAATCGGCCCCTGAACAAAGTGCTAGTTTGGAACCATAACCCCCAGCTGTGAATCCCACAATTGCTGGCTCACAGGAAATCTGCAAAAGTTTCCATCAAACTAGATCTGCAAGGATTTATAATCTAACACTCATTTGGGCAGGGGACAAATGGAAGTCAGATTTCAAAACACGCTCTGGACATTTTAACTGTCTGGTATGCTATTTGGGCTCACTAGCGGTCCTCTGTCCTTGCAACACTTCCTCAGTTATGTATTTGGGGCCATTGTGGATCCATACAGTGTCATCTCTTCAGGTGACAGACTTCTCTTTTTTGGAGAACCCAGAGCAGCACGTGAACCACACCCGAACCTGGAGAGGTTTGGGCAGCATGCTCTCTACACAGAATTGGAAAAGTGAACCTCCAGCCAACTCTCCACAGAGTTTTTGGGGTACAGCCTCTCCCCGGAAGGTGTCACGATTGATCCAAAGAAGGGGGAAGCCATTCACAACTGGGAGGAAGTTTGAAGTCCTCAAGAAGAGCAGTGCTTCCTCAGCTTCACAAGTTTTACCATGGCTTCAGCCCAGGGTTCTCAGAGCCGGTAACCCCCAGGAGAGCTCTCCTCCTCAAGACGGCCATGTTCGTGTGGTCGCCCAAGGCCCAACAAGCCCTCACACAGCTCAGAACTGCCTGCACGACCGCCCCTGTTCTCACACGCAGCATTCATCGTGGAAGTAGACGCATCTACTATGACCATCAGGGCCCACTTAGTTTGGTGGTGCCAGAAGTGGGCTGAAATTCAGACTCACGTGACTTCTGCCCTTGCACCAATGCACCACGCACCAAACTTCTTGGCATTTCAGGCCTCTGGAGACTTTGTCCCAGCCATGGGCAGCCATTGCCAGGAATTTCACTGTTGAACTCCCTGAATCAAATGGCCACAGGGTGGAACTGACTCTCATAGATCACCTGACCAAGATGGCGCACTTCATACCTTGGGCTGAGAGGACAGATTAACTCTGAATTCCCAAACCCAAAATGCCGATGACACCTTTATTTTGATTACTATAGATTCCCCCCCGATTCCATGCCACACAACCAACGGCCTCTCCATACTTCCTGGCCATCAACCTGGTTCAACGAATCCACCACATTCAAGAAGAAAGAAGGGAGCCTCTTGAAGACACTAGGAAGGACTTCAGATAATATGTGGATTGCTGATTTCAAGAGGGGCTAGTCTTTTCAGTAGGGGAGCAAACTCTGGGTCCCTTCCCTCACTCTGACACAATCTGTGCCCAGAATATCTGAGCCCCTCACAGACAATGGGACTGTCCTCCACTCTCCTCCTTGTTGGGGGGACTTGTACCCCCATTTTACAGACAGGGATTGAAGGTGAGGAAGTGACCTCTCCAAGGTCATGTCTGGAAATGTGGGGGAGAGCTGGGAACTGGACTGGGTTCTACAGGAGTGCCCTCTCCACAGGGGCAACTTCACTTTCTGCCCTTTGTTCTCTCCTCCCCTCTTGGCCCGTCTTCAAAGGGAGCTCTGAATGGGAAATGAGCAGCGGATTCCTCCCCCCCTCTGTCTTCCAGCCTCTGGGATCTGTCCACCTCACCTACAGCAATGCAGCCTGCAGCTGGCCCGGCTTGGGGACCCATGACCTCATCCTGTGAAATCGAGAAGTACTGGCTCTCAGGGATGCTTAGATGGAAAACCACTCACCCCACACAGAGGTAGGAATCACCCATTCCCAGGTTGCCCTGAGGAGCCATGATTCCTCCAGGAGCTGGGGAAGGGCACAGTGATCAGTTTGTCAAAGGTAGGGGAGGATTGTGTAAGGAGAGAGTCTAAGAGAGGAGGAGCGTGAGCTAGGCTCTGTATTTGGACTTGGCTGGGCTCAAGAGAAGGGACAGGGGCTGTTAGAGGACAATGGTGAGGTACAAGGGGTGTCGGAGATGGGGGCAAGGCCTGAAAAGTTCAACTACTTTAGATCAATAGTACCAGAGAATCACCGGTTGAGGTGACTGAAAGCTCTGAAGTAGGGCAGCCAAAATCATCCTCCTCAGATGGGAACGTACCAAAAGTCTGCAGAAGCTCAGCCTCTGAGGTGAACGTTGTGACTCAAACCTCTCTCTGCTCTGTACCGCACAGGATTCCAGTTGGCTGTTCCAATCCAGGATGAAAACTATGCCACTGATGTCTCACAGCACCTGGGCAGTGAAGTGCCACTTAAACTCGCTGTGATGCACAGACCTTGCCCTGGCTGTCTGCCCCGGGCTGAATTTCACCCATTCAGAGTGTAAGAAAATAATTGGCTGAAGGCCTTTTTCTTTTTGGATGTCTGTCTAGTGGGAAAGAACTATGGGGATTTTTAACCTGTATTGCTCCCGGGACTGGTGCTTCAATGTTACAAAAAAGTGCTCATGCACTGGTGGATTTTTCCCCCTTTTAATCTACTCTCTTCTTCTTTTTAACAGGTATTCTAAGGGCACCCCATGCTTCATACGGGCATTCTTGGGTGTGCAAATTGCATCAGACCAGCACAGGAATAAATAATAGTGAATGAAATATGCAGACACTAAAGTTCTGCAGCCAAATTCTCAGAAACTTTCCTCTTCAATGTAGGATCAGGATTTTGTATTTAATTGATTTTTTTAAAGTGCTAAGCAGGTGCTACACTGTAATGAGAGGAAACAGAAGCAAAAAACTAAAAGAATGTTACTTAAACCAATGAACTGATGCAGAGAGTGGAAACACAGCAAAGCAAACAAATGAATACTGTGAGTAAATAACCTGA